ATCACTAGTCTTTATTGAGACAGAATGGGTTGGTGGGTTATTTTTTGATCTGTGAGCTGTGTAGCTCATAAGGAATGGATCACTTTCAACAAGAATCATTCATTAGCCCCGTGTGATGGAGAATCTTGGTGGGCAACTTGACTTACTTGGGAAGAGGGAATCTCAAATAAGAAATTCCCTCTACCAGACTGACCATAGGTATATGTGTGGGGCAGTTTCTTAATTGCTAGTTGATACAGGTAGGCCCAGCCCAATGTGAACAGTGTCAGCCTTAGGCAGGTGGGCCTAGGTTGTATAAGATAGGTAGCTGAGTTAAGTCAGGAGAAGCACAGACAGTAAACGACGTTTCTCTGCAGTCTCTGCTTCAGCTCCTGCCTTATATAGTCAATGACTGACTATATAACCTGCAAGCTAAAAATCAACATTTTTCTCCCCATGTTACTTTTGGTCAGTGATTTATCACAGCAACAGAAACCAAACCAGGATACCTGGGAACGCCTGGTTCTCTTTCTAGTGTGTTATGATTTGAATGTAAAATGCCTCCCATAGCCCCCTGTCTTTAAAACATGTTGTATCAAGCTAGTGACACTATTTGGGAGGTTGTGGAACCTTGAAGGTGGAGCCTCACTGGAGGAAGTGGGTCACTGTGGGGTGGGCCTTACAGGGCCTGGCCCTGGTTCTCCCCCTCATTCTCTCTCTGCTTCCTGGCTAGTGTTGGGCTAGAACTACAGCATGTACTGCTGGGATGTAACCAGTTATCTCCTATTCCTACCATCACAGCTGCTGGCTTCTCCTAGCTTCTCCCTTCCCTGCCACAATGGACTGTATCCCTTTAAAGTCTGAGCCGGAATAACTCCTTCCTCCCTTAAGGTGTTTCTGTCAGGTTTTCTGATTCAGCAACAAGAAAAGTAACCCTGCTCTCTGTTAAACTTGCGGAACCCCATAGAACTTTGGTCTTTCCCCCCTTAAGGTGTTTCTGTCAGGTTTTCTGATTCAGCAACAAGAAAAGTAACCAAGAGAAGCATTGTGTGGTGTGATGTGACTCTGGTTCCTGCTCTCTGTTAAACTTGCGGAACCCCATAGAACTTTGGTCTTTCCTTGCCTGGGGCACACCTGCTGCTGTCCTGAGTACCACCTTCTCCCTCCTGTATTGCCAGAGTGTGCTTCCCTCTTGATGGGAGCTATCCTGATGCACTCATCACAGCGCAAGTCCTGCCCCAAGTGGGTCTCAGTGTGAGGACAAAATGGTGCTCTTTGCTTACTAGAGGACAAAGTAGAATTTTTGCAGCTCCATTTCTGGAAGTTAGTCATTAACTAAAACAATAAACCAACTATGTTTCCGGAAATGAGTTCCTGTAAACAGAACACTTAAAAAAATATCTTTTTTGTTTTTTAGGGATGGCTTGTAGTTGAAAGATATGACAGCTCGAGGTAGAACAAAGAACGAGTAAAGATCATGGTTGTGACTGCAGGCCAAGACCTGCAGGAGATCAAGACAGCCAGAACTCCAGCATGCACTGGGGGGGGGGGGGTGCTCAGGAAGTCTCACCCCCTAGTGAGAAGCTATTGGCAACTGATGGCTCCTGGGAGAGGGAAAGTAAGTTTTCTTCAGGGATGTGGCCCCTGAAAGGATACCCATGCTCCAGTAGCTGGTTCCATGCCCATTCACATGCAGGCAACATAAAACAGACTCTGTGGGGTTTAAATAAAGAGAGAGAACACATGAAGTTAGGAGGGAAAGGTGGTGGGGATAGGGGAGGAATTGGGTGGGAGGCATAGAGGTGTTTTAATCAAAACACAGTATATACATGTATGAAATCCTCAATTAAAAGTAAAGAACAAGTGATGATCAGAAAGAAGAGTAAGGATGCCTGGAGACTCACCAGAACAGGACCCTGCACAGCTACCCAACTTTCCAGTCCTTTTTCCTTATCTACACAATGACAGACTTATAAAAATCCAAAATACTACAGTTCCCTGAATCTTGAGACAACTCATGTGCCTCAGCACTGGAGGACATGTCACTAGAAAAATATGCAAAAAAACTTCCCAAGTTCCAAATGTCTATGTAAGCTTAGTATAAACAGGAAAGATCTTGAAAACACCAGTGACCTAGTTTTCCTAACCTGTAACAAGATTTATTCAGTTGACAGTCTATTTCTTTTTTCTTTTCACAAATCAAGCACTTCATGACTTAGTGTTCTAGTGTGGAAAGATTCAAGACTTGAAATTCTGGTTGTATCGGTAGCATTAGAGGTATGTTCCTGTAATCATTTAACTTTTTGCTTTTCCTTCTTAAAGGTTAGCCTGAAATACAAAATTAGGTCAATTGCATTTAGCTTTTGTTGTGGTTTGGGTGTGGTTTATGGCCCCAATGTTTGTATGCTGGAAGCTTGGTCCCCAGTATGGTAGTGCTAAGGTACTGGCACCTTCAAGAAGTGGGGCTTATGATCCACAGGAGAAAATACACACCTGGTACTGCAAGTCTGGTCCAGAGCCTGTGGTTGGGGAGTTCACAGGTCCCAGGGGTGAACCTACTACTGTTATTTTGTTAAATGGAGTTAGTATCAAACTGCTCTCTAAATTCGTAATTCTCTACCATAGAGTAGTGCAGCTCTCAGACATCATCAGGGAAGTTTCTTTGTGTAGTGGGTAGCGTTTAACATAGAAATTCACAACTGGACAAAGTACGGAGAATAAGTGTCAGTGAAATGCTCAGCCACAAATGGGACATCTATATCACATCTTCTACCCAAGGGTCAGGGTCCATCCTGGAAAAGGGGATGAAAAGATTGTAAGAGCCAGAGGCTGGGGAGAACTGGAGCCAGTGTCCTCCGGACATGAAGGACCGCTGCACTTGTGAACTCAGAGCAGCTGTGGTTGCCCATACCAGACTTGCACAAGATCAAGCCAGTCAACATCTTAACATACAGGGAAAGGGGTTCATGAACCCCTCCCCTAAGTGAGGATATTATGAACAGTGGATAGTTTCTAGGGGAGGAAGAGTAAGTTTTCTTTAAGGGTGTGGCCCCTGGTGATTCAATCATGCTCCAGTGGATTGCCCCACACCCAGGAGTGTATAGGCAACACAAATTGGAGTCAGTGGATTATTTTAAATAAATGGAAAGAAAACATGAAGTTGGGGATAGATCTGGGAGGAGTTAGGGGGAGGAGTAGGGGATGAATTGATCAAAACACATTGTATAAAAATCTCAAAGAATATGTGTGTGTGTGTGTGTGTGTGTGTGTGTATTAAGTGGGGCTTCATAGAAGGTAATTAGGTCATGGGGTTCTGCTTTCAGGAATGGATTAATGCTGCCTTGGAGAGGTGGGTCAGGACTCAATTAGTTCTCTTGAACGTGAGTTGCCATAAAGTGAAGCTATCTTGTACACTTGGCCTCTTCTGCATGTTCTCTGTTCCCTTTCTGTTTCTCTACCATGTTGAGACATAGCCCAGGCTCATATCCAGCACATTACCAGGATGCTAGTGTTATACTATTAGGATCCTCCAGCCACCAGGTAGTGAGTCGAACTTTCTTACTTTATATGGGGTATCCAGCCACAAGTGGTGTGTGTCTGTGTGTGTGTGTGTGTGTGTGCATACATAGGTGGGTGCACATGTGTAGGTCAACCTCAGGTGTTACATTTTATTTTGTGTGTATGTGTCTGTGTTGTGTGTCTTTGTATCCGTGTTTCTGTGAATGCCATGGAACACTGATGGAGGTCAGAGGGGAGATTACTGGAGTCAGTTCTTTCTTTCTACCATCTAGGTTTCAGGAATGGAATGTGTGTGTGTGTGCATACATAGGTGGGTGCACATGTGTAGGTCAACCTCAGGTGTTACATTTTATTTTGTGTGTATGTGTCTGTGTTGTGTGTCTTTGTATCCGTGTTTCTGTGAATGCCTTGGAACACTGATGGAGGTCAGAGGGGAGATCACTGGAGTCAGTTCTTTCTTTCTACCATCTAGGTTTCAGGAATGGAGCTCAGATATAAGGCTTCACAGCAGGTAACTTTGCCCACTGAGCCATCTCACCAGCCCAACCTTAGGTGTTCTTCTTCAAGTGCAATCCACTTGGTTTTTCATAGTCTCTCACTGGCTTACAGTTCACCAATTAGGCTAGGCTGGCTGCTCAATGAGTTCCAGGGAACTACCTGTCTCCACCTCCCCAGTACTGGGATTACACGTGCACACACCAGTATACCTGGCTTTTTTACATGGGTTCTGGGGATTGAACTCTGTTCTTCATACTTGTGCTACAAGCTATTTACCAATTGCATCATCTCCCCAACCCTCAAGTATTTTGATATGATAACACAAAACAGACTAAAACACAGTGATGACAGCTTTGCAGGAGCCTCACGAAACACAAGAGTCAGTAAGAGACATGGAAATCCTCTTCATGTTTCTCTTTTTGATGTACCTAGGAAAAGTTTGAAACTACTCTGCCATCTGCAGAAGGTCAAGTGAGGCCATTTCCACCTCCCATCATGAAGTGGTGACTAGTGAGGGGCTGGTGGTATAGGAGGCTTTGGAGGCTCGGCCCTTGGTGAGATCCCAACATCAGGACAGCCCATCTAAATTCATGGTCCTTTCTCAGACTGCCACCCAGTACTTCCAAAGTAGCTGATAGAAATGCATGGGTGCCCATGTGGAGCTGAACTATGTGAAATATTCTAGTGATAAGCTCTCAGGATCCACTTCAGTTGTTTAAAAACATCTAGGTGCTCTCATGTTGTAAGCACAGTGCTTGGCAGGAGAGTCAGTTTTTAAAAAGTTAAGGTTTGTGCCCTTGGATTTTTATTCCAGGAGCTCCATTACACCCCTTGACCTAGCAAAGATCTAAGTAGCTTTTTACTAGGGCTCTAGAGCAGAAGACAGAGATGGTTTAGGCAAAAAACAAAAACAAAAACAAAAACAAAAAAAAAACACACAAAAAAATGCCTCATACTTCAAATGATATTCTTTCTATTTACTGTCCCATAAATGGTTATATAGGAATCCACAGGACAAAGAATCCATGGTCACAGGATTGGTTTGAGTGCACTGTCTTTCCTCATCTCTGGGAAGCCCACCAGAGATGCTCTCTTTTGTCTGCCTCTGCCCCTGCACCCAGCGACTATAAATCTTGAAATTATAAGAATGAACTGTTGACTAGAGCTTATGACTTCTATGCTGGAGGTTGTTTATTTTGGGACTTACATGATTCTGGATGCCACAGCATGGATGGACAACAGAATGCATCTTTACAAGGAGAAAGAATATGTGAGGTGGGTGCAACATGCCTGCCTCCACTTTGTCATTCCTTGCCCATTCTTTGACTGGTTTATACAGTTGGGTGTGTTCATGAGTAGACCACTGTCCTTCATGGATAGTGTAATACTTATAGAAACAATTCAAATAGCTGCGAGTGAAATCAGCTTACAGTGGTTGCTTTCTATGTTCCAGGAGCCTAGGGTCTTAGATATGCAAACTGATTTAGCCATCATATAAATCTTTGGTCATCTTTATGTTACAGATGAAGAATCAGCGGGGAAGTCTCTTTTGGAGATTACACAGATTGAGCTGTAGCTCTTCAATAACAATCCAGGTCGTTGGAGTCACAAGCCCTTAACACCTTGCCCTCTTGGAGTGAAAAATATATTGGAAGTCTTCTTTGCCACATCTCACATTCCTCTGGAATTTGTGTCCAGCAAGTTGCAGTCCTGAAGCATGCTTGGCATCTACAGACTCTTCCATCTGTAATGCTTGATGCACTGCCACTGAGCAAGGAGCATGGTCCCAAATTACACCTGGCTTGAGCACCTGGCTGTCACTCGCTCCTTCCAAGCAAGGCCTCCTGTCTGGAAAGCAAGCTGTCCAACTGGCTTTTCAACTTACATCAAACAGGGGAATAATTTTTCAAGGCATCCTTGTACTTTTCTAACTGCTTTTAGGATGCTGTTATTGAAGTGGTGATGATATATGTCTTGAAAAGTATTCTTTGATTTAAACATGTAGAGGTGAAATTAATGAAGCAAATCAATCTTTTAAAGTCATTGAGTAATGTATTGCTGAAATTAAGTACACGTTGTAATTTGAATTGTTGAAGAGTAAATCAGTATAGTGCTCATGAGAGGGAAATTGTTCTCAGAAAGTCCATAAACATATGTATATAGTCGCTTCCAGCTTCTGGGTCTCATTTTGATAGAAATCTATCCAGTTTTACTTTTTTGTTTGATTCTTTACATGTATAAATCTTGCCTCTACATCTAGATTTTAAGGTGCTTAAGGACATATGCACAATATATGTAAAGCCTAAAACTACCCTTGCTAAACTGAATAAGAATATGCAGGTAGTAAATTTTCATTAGGTGCTAAAACTCAGATCTTAAATGCTGAATAAAACATCAGATTCACTTTGTGGGGGGACATCTATTCTCCTTTACTCTCTAAGGGAAATAAACTTTCTGTTTGAATGTTAGAATTAAATGGCCCGTCTTTGTGACTATAATGGAGCACTTACTTTTAAAAGATGTCTCAAAACTATGTCAAAGCATAAGGAACAAGAGTTTCCAAGAAGAATTAAATCCCATAAAAGCCAATGTACTGGATTTTCTCACGGTAGGATTTAAAATAAAATACAGGATTCCAATTACCCTAGTTCCATTTCGGTTGCTATGATAAAATACTCTGACCAAAGTCAGCATAGGGAAGTCAGCATGTGGCTTACACTTCCGGGTTACAGCCCATTATTGCAGAGAAGTCAAGGCAGGAACAGAAGCAGCATATCCACATTCAAGAGCAGGAAGAGAAGACATTGGGGATGCTTGCTTGTGACTCAGCTAGCTTTCTCTACTCTTACATGGTCTGGGGGCCCAGCCCAAGAAATGGTGCCACCCACAATGGGCTGTGTCTTCCTGCATCAATTAACAATCAAGACAATCCCCACAGACATGCCCCAGGCCAACCCAATGTAGATAATCCCTCACTGAGATTCTCTTCCCAGGTCATTCTAGGTTGTGTTAAGGTGACAATGAAAGCTGACCATCACAGTGTTTTAATTTATATTGTTATTCTTATGAAATAGGTAGTTTTTATTCCAAACTGCATTATACTCTTGCTCCCCAACTTTGGTGGAGTTGGAAGTTTTGAGAGTGCTCTTCCGGGAAAGCAGTCCTGTTCCTGTCCACAGTCCTGTGAAGAGCTGGAACTGCGAATCAAATCTAAGTCTTTCAGCTGGAAGAATCGGCAATCACCTTCCATTACTGAACCCAGAGCACAGCTTTTAATTCTTCAGCTTTTGGGGTAACAGAATTCGTACAGATGTCAGCAGTCAGTGCACACATATTTTTGATAAAGGACCCGAGATGGCTGAGGGGAGAACAAGGCCAAAAATCTGTGAAGGCCCCATGTGTTTTATAAAACTCCTTTAAAACAAGCAAAAAGAGGGGTGTGATAGTTATTCTTCACTGTCAACTTGAATGAATTTAGTCACCTAGAAGAGCAGTGGGGCACATCTATGGGTGCATTAGTGAAGGGTGAGGGCATTTTCAGAGAGGATTCATTGTGGGAGGAAGATGGTGGTACCATCTTATTGGCTGGGGGTCCAGACAGAACAAAAGCAGAAATAGAGAAAGCCCTCTGAACATCCCATAAACACTCCTACCTCCTCAATATCCTGTCCAGGTACACGTAGCTGATCAACCATGAACTGAACCTTCTGAAACTATGAGCCAAAATAAATTGTTTCCATGAGGTAATTTGGTCATAACTGTGCAAAGGTAATGAAGACAAAGGGCAAGATGGGACATGCAGGGTTGAAGAGGATTCCAGGGTTGGTGGTAAGGATCGCATTCTCCACAGCATTCGAACATGGGGCACAGTGAGGCGAGAAATAGAAAGAGACAGATAAGAAGAGGATGGAAGAAAGAACCGACCAAATGCCTGAAGCAAGCCACTCTACCATCTGGAGTCTCTAAGCTTCAAACGAACAGCTTGGAGTATGTCTTAGTTTGGAAGCAAGCCAATGGGAACTAACATTAGCCAGTGATTGAGAAAGTAAGAATGTACTTGAAGGAAGCTAGAGTGTGGTAGGCTCCAGAAAGAAGGGGAAACATTTGGACTTAGCAGCCCCAAGGACAGTGTTTTTATATCTTCTTTCTAAGATGTTGCGATTAATAAGATTCAGCAACTGGAAGTTCCTCTCTCCTCTCAAAGCTGTGTCTGGGAACTTAAAATTTCTAATATCTAGGACAGGCATTCTGACTAGCACAGGTTACGCAAAGGTTTACGTCCACATTAATCACTATGGTCATATAGATTGAACCTTAGAATGCAAACAGAACCCTGTTGGTCTCACCCTGGGTTATAAGTACAAGTGGGGCTAAAAGGTGACAGGTTCCAGAGAAAAGCAAACAGAGCTGGGTGCCTATGCCAGAATTTTCTACTTCTACATTAAAGTTTACTTAAAGACTATATTCCCAAGAATATTTATGTAAGTAGACAAAATGGATGCTTTTAATGCTATAATTAAACTAAATAAGTTTGATCAGAAAAGGGTTCCTAGAAGCAAGAAGTTTTATTTTTTATTTTATAATCTTTATTTTTATTCTTATTTTATGTGTGAGGGTGTATTGCCTGCATGTATACAAGTGCACCTATGTCTTGCAATGCCTGTGGAGGTCAGAAGAGGGCACTGGATCCCCTAGAATTAGGGTTATAGATGGTTGTTAGCCACCATGTGGGTGCTGGGAACTGAACCCAGGTCCTCTGCAAGAGCAGCCAGTGCTCTTAACTGTTGAGCCATCTCTCCAGTCCCAAAGCAAGAAGTTTTAATGGTGATTTAAAGGGATTGGTGTGGTGAAGCTCGCCTGTTCCAGGTGGTGGGAAGAGTGTGTATGAAAGCTCAAAGAGTGAGCAAAACATATTTCAGGAAGATCAATCATTTTACATGAATAGCCCCCAAAATTAAATGTACAGGGGCTGGAGCCATGGCTTAGCAGTTGAGAGTGTTTCCTGTTCTTTGAGAGAATCCAGCATCCACATTGACTGGCTCACAACTGCCTGTAATTTCATCTCCAGGGGATCCAATGCCCTCTTCTAGCCTCCACAGGCACCCACACTTATGTGGAATATACTCACATAGTCAAACACAATAAATAAAAATAAATATTTTTAAAAGCTAAGTTTGGAGATTAAAGAGCATTAAGGTAAATTGGATGAGAGATGAGATAATTTGTCACAACTGTGAGTTGGGAGACAGTCTGGAGAGGGAAGCAACTTGTAGTGGAAAGAGAATTATAGTTGGGGCTCAGAAAGCCTGGATTCTGCTCCAAATGAACAGTTTCTCCCTTGGGTAACCAGGTGTCCTCAGCCTACCACAGGCACCTTCTAGAACAAAAGAACAACTATGCTCTTACCACCTGTACTTGTGTTTTATTTATTTATCCAAGAATATCCATTGAGGGACTGGAAAGATGACTCAACAGGTAAGGCCTCTGGCTGCTCTTGTAGCTGACCATCTTAAAATCCAAATTTTATAAGCCTCCAAAATCTGAAATGTTTTGGGCACCAGAATGACAGCAGAAACTTCCACACCATGAAGCTTTGCCTTTTGTACAAAATTATTTTTCCTAAAATTGGGTAAAGGTACCTTCAGGCACCATGTGTAAGATATTTATAGAACGTAAGTAAATTTTGTGCTTAGACTTTGGCCTCATCCACGATGCATCCCTTTATATATGCATAAATAAATATGTGTGAAAAAAGATGATCCAAATCCCGAAACACTTCTCGTCTCCAGCCTTGAAGACAAAGGATACATGCAAAGCAAGTGCACTTTATATTTGCTGACAAAAGGCATTGTGTAATTTGGGCCCAGAACTGGACGAACACACCCATGGGTCAGGCCAGTCTCTCCCCTGGCAGCCTTCCCGATGGAGGAGCAGATCAGAACACGCTTGCCAGAGACAACTGGTTCCTGAGAGGGAAAAAGCGTGGCATAGGTTTGTCTAGCTCCTCTTCCCAATGCATAATCAATAAGTCAGTCCACTAACTGTTACTGTATTGCTATCTTGTGCTCAATTCTTTGCTATGCTGGATGAAGAGGGGATTTTTGTTCCCCTTCCTCAACAGAAATGGGGATCCCAGGAAAACACTTCCTATGTAACACTCTAAAGCTTCCCCCTGACCCTGACTATAGGAAATCCAGTTTCCTTGTTTTTCAGTCTCAGAGCTGTGGAATTTTCCAACCAAAACTCAAAGGTTAAGGAGATGGTGCTCAGACACAGAAATGAATTTGAAGGAGAAATAACTACCAGACTAAAAATACTTGATTAAGGGACTAGGTAGGCATCGTTCAATAGGATGGGTAGATGTGGTTACTTAAACTTAAATTAGTTAAAATCAAATCAAATTGAAAATCTAGTCCCCCAGTCTTTCTAGTCACATTTCAACAGCTCAACACAGTGTGGCTGTGTTGGACAATGGCGATCTGGGACATTTCCATCTCTAGAGAAGATCTATTGGGCAACACTGCTCTAGAGCTAATAGGTAGACAACTTGACTGGGTGATTAATCTCTAAATACAGACAGTGGAGAGCCCTCGGGTCAAACCTTGGCAGCAATATTACATTCATTTGTCGGGTTCCTGGTAGAAAACAGGTGGCATGCTTACAGGGCTAATTAAAGAGAGCTTCGTGGAGATTGTTTACCAAATTGTGATAAGGGCTAAGAGAACCTACAGGAGATGGTGAAGCCTCCAGGGATCTTGCTCCAGAGACGGCACCACCAATAGGCACAGAGACAGAGGCATGGAACCTAGTCATTGCCAGACTACAGGAGGAAGTTTGGAGAAACAACTTTTCTCTTCCCACTCATCAACTGTCCAGCTGGAGCATCCAGCTGCATTTTACATCCGCTGGAGGGGAGCCCGCTATGTAAACTAAAGCCAGATTCTGGGGCACAGAGCAGGATGAAGCAGGTGGAGAAAGGGAAGCAAAACAAAAAAGAGGGATCTGCTTTCTCTCCGAGCAGTATCTGGAGCAGCGGAAGAGCTGATGGGGCTAAGTGTCCGTGGAGCTTTGAGTGGGGTAGGCAGACCTAATGTAGACATGGGTGCCTAAGGCTTGTAGTGAGGCTCTGCCTTCGCAGGTGTATCTGGCTACACAGAGAAGAATACAGTCAGCATATGCTGTGCACTCCTGTTGTGGAATGGTCTGTTCCCTCACTGTAAATCAATACACTGTCAATTTCAAAAAGTTTATGAGCTTGCAAGGTCAAGGCTACTCCCCTCCCCTGACCCCTGGGCAGACCCATTTACTACAGTGAGGTGAGGAGCATAGCACTGGGAAAGATTTGAGCTGCATCCAATTGCCCTCACCCTAGTGAGAATTCCAAAACTTAGTCGTGGACTTAGGGACAAATATTTTTTAATTCCTACAATTCATATC